GATGCATCAAACATTGATATTTTTGCTTGAAAAATGCTAAAATTATTATTAAAATAGTCACAGATCAATTTTATGCTAATGGCCTGACTGATTCCAAACAGCTGTCCAAAAAAAAAAAAAATCTTTAGTTCATGCACAAGTGTATAAATGTTATGAACTGAACTTAGGTTGATGGCTGTGTTGTCCCAATTGAACCAGTTGGTGTCACTGTCGTTTTTTTAGTACCTGACCAGTCTCAGCTGTGACACTGCAGACTGGTGCTGCAGCGAGAACATGAATGAGCATTAAACTGTTGTTATGGTTAAAGAAAAACCTACGTAGTGTGAATTAAGGCAGTAAATACTTTAGTGAGCAGTGGTGGAAGAAGTTCTCAGGTCCTTAAGTAAATATAACAATACCAGAGTCTAAAAATACTGTATTACAAGTCGTACATTCAGAGTTTACTAAAGTGAAAGCACAAAAGTATAAGCTGATAACAGCAAAATATACTTAGTGCTAAAAGCAAAAGTACTCATTACACAGCATGGCTAAACGTAATTGTAATTAATTAGATTTAATGTTGCAGCTGGTAAAGGTGGCACTAATGTTAACAATATGCAACACTTACAATGTGAAGTACTTACATACTGATGGATAGTTGCTGAATTTCCCACCAGGGATCAATAAAGTCTGATGATTCTACTATGGTTTGATTCATCTGATTCTGAAAAGGAACTGAAGTTATTTGATACATATAGGACAGTAAAAAGTACAATAGCTGTCTCTATCATGTAGTGAAGTCAGTGTCGTAAGCAGCAGGACATGGAAATACTAATGCAATACTTGACTAAATGTACAGAGTTACCTTCCACCACTGACAGTGCGGAGGTGGTTACCTGTAAACAGCAAGTTCAAACCGCGGACAGACTGAACTCAACGCCACAGCTGGCCGGTTCCAAACTAAAACTCAAACCCAAACATTCTCTGCGCAGGAATGAAACTGCTATTCACCGTCTTTCTGTGGATCTGGTCAGTGATCCAGGCCCCTGAAGAGGTGATGGGAGCTGGAGCAGCAATGTGACCATGGAAGTCACTGTCTCATTTTATTGGTCACCAAATCTTCATTTTATATAAGTGAAAACCCTAAATTTCCTGAAAAAAAACAAAACAAAACAGACTAGGTAGGTTGAGAAACAGTGGCAAACTCATGCTATTGCCTGGCCCCAGGTGTGAGCTCTACAGAGGAAAAGCCAGTGGAGCACTACAGACTTATCCTCTAGAGACAGGAGTTTAGGGTAGTCCATATAATGTTCGATGAGGTTTTTCAGTCTGAACCAACCTCCTGACTGACACTACATCCTCTGAACAAAGTACATTAGGTGATTACCACTCTCTGTAAGGACCCAAACAAAATGACTGGTTTGCAGTTGCTCCCTGGGACAAAGATTATACTGTTGAACAGTTTCATCCAGCTCCTTTTTGATGTGTCTCAGGTTTGGAATATAAAATCCAGCAATGACACAAACATTGTGGAGTAAAAAGTGGAAAGTCCCACAGAAGACCAGGACTTAAATGTTCTCCAGTACTGTAATTAAATAAGTGACCTTAGGTACTTTCCATGTCCCAGTATGATTAGACTGGGATGTTTTCTGTGTATCTCTCCCTCCTTCTCATGCTCAGAGGTCAGCACTGCTCCATAAACCACTGGAACCACTTACTGTGGGTGCGGTCTATTGTTTCATGATGTGAAATGGAGCAGAAAGTTGGACAAACACTGAAGTATTGTGAGAACCAACCTGGTGTTTGGATGTTGGATTAAAATCACGGTATGTGCTGGGCTGCTGAGGTTTGGCTGTGCAGCCTGTGGCACTGTATCCTGGAGAACAGATGTGAAGCTGAACACAGCTGATGACAATAAATTAATTCAGGCTGGATCTCTGTGTTTCATCTGTTTCATTTCAGTATTGAATGACAGCAGTAGCAACAAAGTTTTTCTTTTTCAAACTTAATGCTTGCATGTCTCTGAGGACTGTAAAAACAAACTTAACCAGCAGCTAGAACGCCAGTGACTAGTGGACCAAACGGAAGCTAAAACACCAGTGAGTATTAGACCAAAGCAAGGCCAAAACAAACTGACTGTCGGACCAAACCAGGAATAAAACAAAGTGACTGTCAGACCTAGCCAGGAATAATACACCAGTGACTGTTGGACCAAACCAGGAATAAAACTAACTGTCAGACCAAACCAGAAATAATATGCCACTGAGTACTAGACCAAACCGGGCATAAAACTCCAGTGACCGTTGTACCAAACCGGGAATAAAACTCCAGTGACCGTTGGACCAAACCAGGGCTACAACAGTGGGCACTCAGCCTCCATGTATGACTCCAGCAAAAGCAGCTTCCCACACGCATTCATAGCAGTTGTCAGTATTTGACCTTTCATCTGTAGTTCTGGTTAGTGTTGAACTTATTATTTCACTGTTTAATCTTGACATTAGGCATCACTTGGATCTCTGTGCTGCTGCATAAATGTTCTACTGATGTGGAACCTGTTAAACCAGACACAGGTAGTGTCATGTAGAAACTGTTCACTGCTGTTACAGACGAAGGAGAGGAGCTGAATCGTTTGGCTTTCAGTATTACTCACCAATGGGAGTAAAGTCTAACAATACAGAGCAGCAGTATGAAACAGCCATCATGGTGTGTGTGTGTGTGTATCAATATGTTGTGTGCTGGCATGCTTCCACTAGTTCCTGCCTGCTCATTTCCAGCAGTGTTTTCTCAGCTGCACTTTCCATGAGTGAAGAGAAACTGTTTTCATGGATTGACTGCTATTACACCTCCTCACCCACGTCCACTCTCGTCCTCTTCTCTTGTCCATGCTGGCTTCAGCTAACAGCCTGACTGAAAACACACCTGGTGTTGGTAAAAAGCGTAGTCCGTGTCTTCAGGCTGAGTGGGTCTATTCATATCACTGAGTGCTGACACAACATTTTCATTCTGACTGACCTCATTGAGAGCAGTTAAAACTGCATAAAGTGATTTTTTTTCAACACTAGAGAGCAGAAAGTAAACAAACACATAGTTACTACATTACCTCAAGTTCTTCAGGGTAACACAGCAAGAAATAAATAAAGCTGAGCATGGTTGTGCTTTAGTTCTGGTGTGGTGTTGTAGCACGTTTTGTCTGAAATTCTCTTGGCGTTTCATCCCTGGTTTGGTTGAAACATTCACTGGGGTTCTGGTAGTCCTGTTTTGGCCCAGTATTCACCTAGTTGGGTCAGAACCCTTTGATAGTTTAGCCACAGGTTCACTAAAATATTTGCCAGCATTTATTCCTGGTTTGGTTCAGAATTTATGCTTTAACCTTGGTTTGTCCTGATAGTCCCTGCTGTGTTGGCCTTAATTTGGTCTAAAACATAAATGTGTTATGCCCAGTGTAGCTTTGTATTCACAGCTTTTAGTCCCTGACTGGGACCATCCATATCCACACAATCAAAGCTGAACAAGGGTGAACTCTGACCTTTCAGACTGCTGAATCTGGCTGACGGCTGCACCAAAACAGCTAACAGACACTTGGCTTTGCCTGTCATGCAGGTGTTAATGGAAGTAAACAGGAGACAGAATGAATATATGTAAAACAAAAGTGTAATGTGACAGTACCTTTCCAGCTTTCCACCCCTCCCAAAATTCAACAGGAAATACATCACATTATAGTTTAACAACTTCAGCTCGTCGGAAAACACTGCGTGTCACAATTTAATCAACTTGGTAAATAAAAAATAAAAAAAGGATTACAACTGGTTAAAATAAGCACAAGATTAGGAATTAAATGTTAAATGTCTGTTACTGTGTTCACAATGACACTGGAGATGGTGGTGAGGTTAGTAAGAGTTGCCCGACCAGTAGTGGACCTCACCAAGGACAATCTGAAAACAGCTTCCTCTGGTTCATGTGAGTTTTTTTATATATATAATGTGTATAGACAGAGAAAGTCTGGGAGTTTGCTTCTTAAAAGAAAGAAAAAGAAAAAAAACTAAACTTATTCTATGACTAATTTTAAAATGGAATTTAAATGATCAAATATCTAAAAGTTACATTTTGGTCCTTCGGTTTCCTCATGCATCTCCACAGCTTTGTAAATTTCCATTAAGATCGTAAGTGCCACAGAATGTAAGTGAGGTCCAACCCACAGAGCAGCTACAGGACTTTTTTTTTTCTTAACATGAATCAAACTAATAGTTGATCACAGTCAAACACAGAAAAAGTTTTCCTCATGGTACAAGCATCAGATTTCCAGCAACTGTCCAACAGATGACCTGAGCAAACAGTTGGTAACATGGATGTCTGTCGTTTGCTGTAGTTGGGGCACAATAAAACGAGAGTCATTCTCTGTGTCTTTGTAGTCGATTTGAGTCTCTGTGACAATTCTGTGTCCCTGTGGTCGTTTCGTCTCCATTTGTAGTTGAATGATTGGAGTTTCCCCAAACGAAGCACTGCCAGGCACTGGAGATGCTCTGTCCCGTGGGCCTGTGCTCAGTAGATCCATCCAGTGATCCATCCAGTGATCTGTCCACGCCAGGATCCCTCTGCTGCTTCTGATGCTGCTGTCTGACAGATTGTGAATAATCTCCTTTTCTTCAGTTCAATAAAGTTTACGTCATGATTACAGACCTTTCATAGTCCAAATGGCTTTCGTATCATTTAACTGTCCAACATCCAGGAATATTAAAAGACTGTCACCATGGAGCCAACATGGCCGCCACTGAAAAAGAACTCTGCTTTTAAAAAGTGTCACATACATACTGTGTAGGTTTAGTACTACAGCTTACATCCACGCTCTTGTGTTTATTGTGTGCTTTAGGTTTAGACACACATACATGCACCCACACACCGATAAACACACACTAAATGCACACTAAATAATGTCTGTGCAAAGAAAAATAAATGACGAAAATCAAACTCCAAACAGATGGAGCGATGAACTACATTCAGCTACAACAGCCTGTGATAGTGCAATATCTACACACACATGCGCACACACACACGCACAACCACACACACGTCAAATCTCAGTGGCGACTGGCGCTGAGGTGCTCAGCCTCTTCCCGGCGTCTGATTCCATCTCTGCACAGACAGACAAAAGACAGACAGCCAGGATGTGAAACAGACAGGCAGACCTCATCTGTCACTGCACACACATCACATGCTCCTATTCATGTCTGTTGCCATGGTGACCTTGAGGATATTGATTAACATAATGAACAAGTTTGAAAAAAAGGATGTGGTGTTACACTGGTGCAACACAGTTTACAATACAGTAGAGAAAAGAACCAGTCAGCAAGGTGTGATTTGGATTGAACTGCACCTTGACTTTCCTGCCCAGTTTGTCCTTCCACTTCATAGCAATGGAGCCGTCAATCAGGAGCAACCTGCAACCACAAGCACCGAGTGAGATTTGTGCAGGGTTTCTCATAGTGTCGAGGTGAAGACCTCAGAAGACATTATTACAGCTTGATAAAATGTAGTATTTGGCTTATGAAACTTCAAGGGAAGCAAATAGGAGGGTTAGACACGGCATTTAGTAGACACATAGATGACAAGATGAGATGCATCAGGATCTGAGTGAGTCCACAAAGCAGGTGATTGATTGATCTGTTGTAATGTCAGGAAGAGAGAAAGCCTGAGTTGTTATGAGCTCAAAAACAGCCAATCCAGAGCTGATATGTGACCAAAAAAGAGGTCTTGCAAAGGAGACAACAGACTGTTGAAGTTTAATGACCCAAGAATTCTTCAATTCAGTCCTTTTACTATCAGTTACAACTCATGGCCCTCATACCTGGATGTCTCCTTGTTCTCATAGCCCATAATGAGGTACTCCTCCCCTGGAGTCAGGGGAGGACACAGGCAGGAGGACGAGTAGTAGAGCGTCTGTGTATCCTTGGGAATGTGGACCAGAGAAGACTTCAGCACCTCCTTCACCTCCACCACCGCCGTGGGCTCCAGACTGCGATTCCTCACCTCCCTCACCCTCGCTCTGATCACTGCAGGACATCAGCATACATGGACACACTGAATACTGGACTTCACATTTCTCAGCCGCTGGATGTGATCACTTCCATACAAAGCAACTCAGGCTTTTAAAACCCCTGGCTGAAGGCTTACACCATGCTCCCACTTTCCCCTGGCCTGGTTTCAAAGCTCTGGATTTCAAACAGATCTGATTTTGGTTGAAGCAACAAACAACAACTTTGCAGACAGGATCATCATCTTTCTGTCTCAATTTCACAGCCACTGAAAAAGTGTTTCTTCCTTAGCGTTGTGTTCACTGCCATGTCTAATTGTGTGTGGTTCAGAGAGTGTTTTTAAATGTAAATGATTAAGGGTGTGTCTATTTACAGTTATACGTTGGAATGGAAGTGCAGCTCTATAAACCTGATGAAAACTGTCTTAAGTCATGAATCTACACAGGGTTTTATGCATCTGGCCCCTGGCGTGTCTTTTGGGTCACAGGGACTGTAGCTGTAGCTCAGCTTGGTCCCATTAGCACCCCCAACAAGGGCTGACATAGCCGGGGTCAATAAGGAAATGACAACAGTTTAACACTTTAAAAGCTGAAAGACGGCGCTAAACAGCAGTAACAGCCTGGTAAACATTTACTGCAACAAATGGCAAAGAAAGTATGTTTTTATCAGAACACTCTGGGGCAGCACAGCAAAAAAATCAGGAGGAACACAAAAAGGAATGTATTCAAGTGTACAAGACACTACTGCAAATATGACACCAAGAAACCAGAAGAGGTGGATGCTACAGAGATGGAGAAGAAACCAGCTTGCTGTCAGGAGCGGATGCCTGCAGTCAGATTGTTGACTACCGTCTTGTTATGTGCTTGGACCCGCCACCATGGTTCATTGAGCGCCTCTGAATTCCATCCATCCATCCATCTTCATCCGCTTATCCGGAACCGGGTCGCGGGGGCAGCAATCTAAGCAAAGATGCCCAGACTTCTCTCTCCCTAGACACTTCCTCCAGGGGAATGCACTTTCATGCACATCCTACACTACTAATTGTACTGATTATCACATCTCATACTTTGATTATTGGCTATCATCCATCAATCCATCCACCCATCTTCTTCTGCTTATCTGGAACTGGGTAGCAGGGGCAGCAGTCTAAGCAGTGATGCCCAGATTTCCCTCTCTCCTGCACTTCCTCCAGCTCCTCCGGGGGAATGCAGAGGCGTTCCCAGGCCAGCCAAGAGACATAGTCCCTCCAGCATGTCCTGGGTCTTCC